ATTAGTTATTTAGGCACAGAACTGCCCGAACAGTACGGTATGAACCGTAAATCAACGTATTTTAAGCGCCGAATACAGGTGTATAACTTGTTAAACCGGCCCCGGGGTGTCTGGGCTTTCATCTATCACATATTTGTGTTTTTGTTGGTGTTTTTCTGTTTGATTATGACTGTGTTAAGCACCGACACCAACTTTGAAACCATAACGTGGGAGGTATTAATTTTGATTGAAACGTGCATGGTGGTCGGTTTTGGTATTGAGTTTATAGTACGATTGTGGGCATCGGGCTGTAAATTAGAGTACAAGGGCTGGTGCGGCAAATTAAAGTTTCTTCGTAATCCATTACGGTTGGGCGATATCTGCCTTATTATAGTTTCAATAGGTATGTAACTAGTTATTTAGCACTTGATTTATATTAAACAGACTTTTATGTAAGGTAACTATTTCAAGCTTATTAATTTGATTTGTAATTAATAATAACACAATTAATTAATCAATCTAAATTATTTAATTAAACTGTACATTTTTAAAACTGTAGTGCTCTTGCAAGTGGGTCCGGCCGATGGGCACCTAGTATTTGATGGTTTTGCTGTACGCGGTTTTCACCGCGTTTTTCAAGTGATCCAGATGATTAAGTCTGAGCGCCAGTTCCGACCGGCCAGTATACTCATGTCGGTGCTCTCATCGCAACGTGAACAATTGATTATAACCGTTTACATTGGCTTTATTGTGCTGTGTTTTATGGCTTTCCTCATATATTTGGTGGAAAACGGTGTCAACGAATACTTTGATACCATCGCCGACTCCTTTTGGTGGGCTGTAAGTGCCAACCGCTACCCCTTTCCCTCCTTTCCCTCACTAGCGCTGTTAAACATACAGGAATTTCCTGTATTATACAGGAATTTTCACAGAATACAAGAAAAAATGTTCCTGTATAGTAAAAAATACAAGAATAAATATTTCAAAAATAGCTGTAATACAGGAGAATATAGGAATTTTTAGCAATTTTTTCATATTTATACAGGATTTTTAAAATAATATTTGACAACGCTATTATAATCCCATACACTCTTAAGATGTTATACAATTTTTATATACCATTAATCCTTTATAATGTACTCTTATTATAATGAATTAATTTTAATTATTGTTTTAAACTTATTTGATCTTATTCACTAATTCACTGATTTTCTCATTATAAGGTGATCACAATATTTACAATAGGCTATGGGGATAGAGTACCGGTGCGTATATTCATACATGTAAACCATATATAAATGACATTTTATCAGTTTTGGTAGTAAATCATTTGAATAATTAGCAATAAAATGTTTTTTTTATCATACTGGAATATCTCTGCAAGAAAATAAGCAAATTTATGTTTACTTATTTTGTGCACAGGTTACATGGGCAGGCAAATTGATCACATGCATATTTACTATATTGGGTGTCTCTATATTTGCACTGCCGGCGGGAATTATAGGCACCGGACTGGCCATCAATGTTAGCGAAGAGCAGAGAGTGGAGCGTAGAATAAAACGCAAAGTACCGGCGGCTGTACTCATACAACGGTGTTGGAGGTACTGTATTAACACACCAACCCTTTCCCTAAACTTAACTACCTGAATGCATTTATGCAATCTAATTAATAATTCCCATAAACTATCTTAAATAATTAAGCACATACATAATTTAAATAGACAGTGTCAACAATTGGCATTATACAATAAATTGTTTTTTAACAACAACAATTAAGGTTTATGTTTTATATATTAGGTACTACGCGGCCAACCCACAGTCCCGTTCGGTGGCAACATGGACACTTCATAAGAAACACTGCGACATGCTGTCCAATGCCGAGCGCAACGGTATCCGGTTTATCCGAATGGTGCAGTTCGTGTTGGCCCGACAAACATGGGAGTCGCTCCGGCAAAGGCCAGACATCCAGGATGTGCTCGATCAGTACCAAACGGGCCACTCGTCGCTACTTTACCGGATTAAAGAAATACAACACGATTTGAATTTGATTGTGGGTAAAGTGCACACAAATGGGGCCAAAATGGTTGAGTCCAAGGCTGGGCTCATTGATAGGATAGAGAGACTGGAGCGCACGCACAGGGATTTGGACCGCAAACTAGATGTTAATTTTGAGTTAATATTGTCGGCACTTAATGACCGGTCCGTTAGATCCGAGTATAACTTAATGAGAAATGATGTGAGCGCTAGAGGTTGTGGTGAAACAAGTGTTACGTGTAGCCGCAGGAATTCAACATGTTAATTTCTTTTAAGTAGAGCATTAGTTAATTTATTGTAATTATATAACTCAAGTAAAATATTAAGTAAAATTTTTATAATTTTAAAATTCAGCAATAATTAAAGAATGATAATAAAAATATTGGTTTGAGTGACAGTTTATTTTAATTTTAAACAATACTATTATAAAAAGCTTTAAATCATAACATTTTATAATTTATTTTAAACAAAATATTATTTGCACTTTTTGCTGGGGTGTACAATAGACGGGATTTTACTTATTTTGTAGTGGTATTAGAATGAAAAACATTTGATAATTTCTTGTCTAAATTAGTCAATGCATTTAATGCAAGAATAGGTATTGAATGAAATTTATGACTATTGGCCACAGGGATAGACTCCCACTTGCAATCGGTGATCAACGGGTGGCCGCAGTTGGCTATATATAAGGGAATCACATTCAATACACCCATAATCAGTTCCCTGGGCTCACCGGTAAGCGAATTAGCAATTGCATCATGCCAGCCTTTAATGTAACTATTATATAATAATTGAAATTTAATGTTACCTTAATATTATTATTATATATAATTGTAGAAAATACTTTAATTACTACCAATTAAGTTGGGAAACTGTGCAATTGGTGTTGGGTTGGGAGGCGTCTACGAGGGCGTTGTATACACCATGGCTATACTCCTTTTGTGCCATAGCTTTCTGGTGTAATTCATTTAATAGAGATGATAACTGATCATTAGTTTTGTGATCTAAAATGGTAGCACATATTTTATATGTATACTGGAAGCCGATTGCCATTTGGTCAATAAACATCAAGGGTAGTTTACTAACACCATACCACCGACGCGTTAATTTTAATGCTAATTCTCCAAACGATCGACTAATGTAAATTCATGATTCATAATACACTAAATTATCAATGTTAATTTATTGTTTACATTGCGCAGTATAATCTTAGCATGGTTGGTGTTACTGAAAATGGTTCATCGGGCAAACTTATGCCTGTGCTCATTATAACTAACTTATCCAACCACTCTTCTGATAATTTACTATAAACTCCAAATACTAGTGTTTAAAAATGAATTAAGTTTATATAATAAATGTATGTTGTAAACTATTTATGATTCTACCTGGTATACACAGAAGGTAAATCCAAATATAGTTCATGATCATTTAGTATAAAAATTAATGTAATGTAATTATATTTGTCATATATTATTGAAAGAATAAGACAATATGGTTTATTAATTAATTAAACTATCATTAAGTTTTCAATTTTTAAGTTTTCAATTTGCTCCACTAGATGGAAATATTATTATACAGTATTATAAAGTATAACCAATTGGATATCTCAATAAGAATTTCTCCAAATATTAATACTTTTATATTAATACAAATGTTACGAATATTTTTACTTAAATTTTGTATTTAAATAATTTTATGTAATTTTATATCTAATAAGAGTTTATGTAAGAACAGCACCAATTGGTGAATACATGACTCTCTAAATAAAATATGATTTGATTTGATAACAAATTATGCAACATTATTGCAGGACATAACCTCTCAAAATTACACACTGTGGTCTACACTAAATGTACAACTAAATTCAATTCAATTCTAGAAACACAATAATTTCTTATTTACTTATAAGACATTCTGCATTAATAGATCATGTGATACATATCATTAAACATTTTATTACAACTTTCTTGATGTGTCATAAATGCCAACAAAAACGGAATCAAAGCCAAGAATAAGCAAAATATAAGACCAATTGCTTTGTAGCCATTCCTGCGGGCCATCGATGAGGTCTCGCTCTCGACATCCTTTACACCCTTCCCGACGACCGTATATTCAGTGCTCTCGTTGTCAGCACTCGTATCACTCGAGCGGTGTTTACAACAATACACGAACCAAAATAGCATAGAGAGTACGTGAGCCACACGTGTGCTCCACATCAGGCTATTGAGCAGTAGGTACTGACCCGCGCCTATCGGCCACTTCACTGAGTATATCATAAAATAATCAAAAGCAAAATATGCCAAACATCGGCTTATTTCCAGCGGTGCCGCCCATGACCTGTATTTTTTAGTACAAAATTTAATTAAAATATTATAAAAATAACAATTATATAATTTAAACCTGTTATCAAATATCGCCCCAAAAGATGTCAATACGTATACAACATATAGTATTGCAATCATCCCTTTTTCAGGTGAAAACCGCTGTTGTGTTTATATTATAAAATCACAAATTAATTAAATTTAATAATGAATTACTAAATCATTAAATACTCACAATATATGGATGTTCTCCGAGTAAATAAAAAGCCAATACAACTATTATTGAATGAAAAGCGATGTATATTTTCTTCCAGTCCTCGATATATGGGTCGTGACTATACTTGGGTAGAGTGTAGTCAACTTCGGGCACATCATTGATGTCTCCGAGTCGTGGCTTACCGGGTGTCCAACCGGGACCCTTAAACAGGGCCGACATCTTATTACAAAAGCCCTCAACTTTACAAAACTTTTGCCAAACGTCTCGATAGTAACCAAACTGTAAAATCATTGAGTCGTATGTTTTGGGTGTCGGAGACACCACTCCATAAAGAATCTTCTCCTTCTCTGTCTGATGTGTACCAAAAAGTCGGTCCCAAACCATAATTAACGCGCCGTAATTCTTGTCAATACAGTACCGGTTCATCCCGTGATGTACGCGATGTTGTCGGGGAGTATTGATTACGTACTACAGGAAACCCAGATTAACCACCACTGAGTTATGCAGCCATACTTGATATATAAGGCTAAACTGAATGTGAACCATAAGGCATGGCGGGGGCACTAATAGGGCAAGTGGCAGCGGAAATACCTAGTTGAAAATGTAAAGTATTATTATAATATTTATAATTATAAGTGTAAATGATTTCTTACGGCATATATGAATAAATCGACGACAGAGTCGCGGATTGTTGTCGTGATGTTCACATCCTCTGCCATGTGATGGAACTGATGGGCAG